TCTCACTCAATGTTCATTATACCCTCCAATGAAGAACATCCTCACATACAAGGATACCTTCCAAAGCTAACACTCGTTGACATTCACTCTGTGCAACCATCGCCTGCCAAAGGGGCGGATCGACAAAATTCTCTAACTGTGCCTGGAACCGCGTGACCGCCGCTCGCCCTGACCCACGCCAGAGGTCCTTGTCATTAGAAGAAGAGTTATACGTTTCACACTGGCACTATTCCTGGTCCTTCTTCGTTTTGTACCCTCCAATGAACATCAGAGATTTCCCATCTGGAATCCTGGTGGCCCTATGACACCTGCAAAAGATGAAAAGAAGGAACTCTAGCGGCTGCCTGATGCAAGAACAGTACAAAAGCTATTCTGACTTACAAGCTTCCCTCACGCTCCCTCACAATGCTTTTGTGTTCTGCTCAACTCCCACTCACGCAAGCGTTGTCCTTGCAAGGTCACATAATACAGACATCAACCTACACGATGCAGTTGCCATGTTAATGCCATACACTGTAATGCTCAGATAGGAGAAAAGCAATCGGAGCGCCGCACTGAAAAGCCCCGGCCCCACGGAGCGCCGCACTGAAAAGCCCCGGCCCCACGGAGCGCCGCACTGAAAAGCCCTCCCACCGACACTGAAGTCTGATACCACCACCCCACACACCCTTCGGCCCTCTGACTTATCTTTCAGATAGCACGGTCCTGAATTCATCCTTATCAGAGCACATCATCCAACCAGCGTTTCCTCGCATTCACTGAGCGCCTCTTCATCACCTGCGACACAAAATGCTGGTGGTCATGGACACGCCAAGTCATATCAGCATCTACCATTTGGACACTCTCCTCAGAAGAGCCATGCCCCCCCCCATAACTTTTGCACACACACCACTCCAGCTCACCAGGCACCAAAAAATCCAATAAACTGAAGAAACTCGGTGCCTCTACTACTTGTAAGGTATCCCACGCTCAGTGGCTCCCAGCCTGCTGCTCCTCTCTTCTACCGACTCACCTCTAATCCTCTGCTATCTGAGCAGAGACATTATGATGCCTGCAAAAGCGAAGAGAAACGGTCATTTGAATTGCCACACGATCTTCTGCGATTCTGGTCTGAGTGAACCGCTCGTTGCCTCTCTCGCCTTTTCTCAAACCACTCCTGATTCCGCTGCGTGAACCCTCAGGGAAGGAGTAGGGCACCTACAAAATAAAGGGAGGTAACACCATGGGGTAGAGGAGCCTCCCCGATCCTCAGCTTGCTTGCGGCACTTTCTCTCCCCTGCTTTTTTACCTCACCTGGTCAGAGACAGATGCTTCCATCTGCTGTGCCAATGCCTCGTTGCCACCTGTATGACAAAAACAGGATGTGATTTGAGCTACCATGATATTACAACACCCCAAATGAACAGCTGCTTTGGCATGCTGGTCCTCTCTCACCTTGCCAAAATCCAAGGGCGCTGGTACCCCATGTAACACATAGATTGACACCTAGAAAATAAAACCAGAAGAGCTTGAGACAGAGCCACTGGTCACACAGATACTCTAACATCTTCCATCCCTCTTCAGTAAGCAGCTTCTCATTTTGTATTTAAATGACCCAAACCAGGTGAGTGAGTCACCCCGTTGTTAACAAAGACTTTCACGAGAGCATAGATTTTTCTTCTATTTCCATCCCCCATCCAACTACTGCTTTAACACACAAAACCCTAAATATTGACACCACATACAAGCTAAGGCTCCTTCAACCCACAAAACTAGGGCTTGAACTGCAGCTTGTGGTGCCTGCCAAACTCGAGGACAGTAACTCCAAGGCAGCTGTCTACAGCTGCTTGACCGAAGATGGACCGTATTGTCTTTGCCAAAACCATCTGGGCAGATTGACGTCTTGCTACGCAACTACAAAGCCATGCTTCGCTCATCT